CTTGGTGCTCACCTTAAAGCTGGGACAAAGAGAGCCACCTTGAGGCTGAAGGACACTGAAAGTGTTGCCTCTGCAGGCAGCACCATGGGCAAGGATATGTGCTGTTGCTGGTGGTCACGACTAAGCGCCATTCCTCACTCCCTCTAAGTGCCTTATGGAGGGAAAGCCAGAGAATCAGCCATTGGTGCCATGGGAACACCGTTAAAAAGAGGACATTTTGCACAGCCCTATGTCATCTGCCTACACTTGTGAAATTATGCAGCCAGTATTTACTGGCATTTCACTCTGTATTAAATCGTTCTGAGCAAGTTACATGCATCTCTCACTTAATTCCTGTAACTACCCTATAAAGTGGTAATTGATAGAACTGGGGCTTAAACCCAGATACTTTGGGCTCTATACCCCATACCCTTAATCAGAGATAAAATAGTTGTCAGAGAATAAGGGAGAGATAAAGAGGTTGTCTCTCCTCACACCGGTACACTAGGCCAGAGCTTATTGTCTCCAAAGATTATTCAAAGTGCCAGGTGACTAGAGCTGGAAAGGTTTCCTGCCTTAGATATATTCTGCCCACACCAGCCTCCCCAATATGACAGCCTCCAGGCTGGTGTGGAGCCCAGGTTGCCATTCCAGGCTCCCCTTGCCATTGAGTTAAGTTGCCCTTTAGGGATCCTTGATGGCCCTTCCTGCCTTCTGACCTTAGCTGGTACCATCTCAAGCATCAGAAGTGTTGAATAATGTTAACGCCCAAAGAGATGTAATCTGAGTGTTAGAAACCTTTCATTCAGGTAAGGTCCTTGGTCCAATGCATTTTCTCCAACCTCGCCCCAGCAGACAACCACATAAAAGGGATTAGAAAAGGCCCTAGCCAGGAAGCTTGCCCCATTTGCTTCCTTCCTCTAATGGGCCACCACTGGCTTGATCGTTGCCTAGCAAAAGAGCCAACTCAGACAATTCTTTCAAAATAGGATCTGCCTCAAGGTCCTTTGTTGAACCCGTCCTAGACATGGGTTTTAGCAGGTACCTCTTAAAAGGCAGCCTGTCTCTCTAATGAAATAATTTTACCTTCCTCAGGTCTTTCTACCCAAGCATTGACAGTTTAATAGTGCCATCATTCACCACATATTGTGCACCTATTACATGTAGGGCACTGTGCAAGGAGCAGAAAAGAAATAAGATGCAGGCTTTCCTGAAGGAACAGGATAAAAGACTGCAACATCCATCCATCCCAGGTCTCCTGCCTCAGAGACAACAGGAAGGGCATGTAGTGGGGGGAGAAGGGGAGCAGGGTAGACAGGAAGGAAGAGGCAGTAATCAGTCTGAAGACTGTCTGCTAGTAAAATCAGAATAGGCTGACAGTGAGTCTATTTAAGGACAACCTCAACAGAGAAACCTTATTAGCCAAAGCTATCAAAATAGACCCACTTTCTAAATATGTAACTAAGCTTTGTACTCCCCCACAATTACATATAGAAACATCCTACAAGAATACATTTTTCAGCACACCCTCTGAAATACATGATGATGCTCCTGTTTAACAAGCAAAATAATTGAGGTGCAGATGGTAAGTGACTTGACAGTATTGTGATGCAAGGCAGTGCAAACACTGGAACCCGATTCTTAGGAACTTACTGGGAACTGCCTTAGATTTCACAGATGGCTGGTCCTTTAGTGAGCATTACAGGCATCTATTACTATATAACAAGCCACTCCAAAACTTAGCCACTTACAACAGTAACATTCATTTGCTTATGATTCTGCAGCTGGGACTGGACCTGCCGGACAGTTCTGCTGGTCTCACCTAGGTCACTCATGAGCTTGCAATCTTCTGGTCTGGGACTGGTCATCTAAGATGACTTTATTTATGAACCTGGGGCCTTGAATGCTAGTGCTTCTCTCCAGCTGTCACTCAGTCATGTAATGCAGGTGTACATGGCCGCAGGAGTATGCAAGAGGACCATGGGGAAGCTGCAAGATCTAGGCCTAGGTTCTGGAACTTGCCCAGTGTCACTTTTGCCACATCCCTTTGGTCAGAGCAAGTTACAAGGCCATCCCAAATTCAAGGAATGGTAAAATAGATTCTACATCCTGATGGCAGGAGCTGCAAAGCACTGTGGCCATGCTTTTCACAAAGAGAGGTAGACCTCATTTTTACCAGTCCACACACACTGGCTACTGTCACTGCCAGGACCCACCAGCATCCACCAGCCCCTGCCACCTATGGGAATGGTGGCAAGAAACATCTTCTGCACTGGAGCTTGGGAGCTTAGGGACTTGGCTTAGTACCTGGATGATACCCAAATTCCTGGAACATTATCCCAAATACATGCTGAAATTATAAATGAAGTTACAGACTATCAGTCACTGTGTAGACATAGTGGTAATTGCTGCCTGTGCACTGATACACAGGTGCACAGATCAGACATGCATTCCTGGGCATGTGATTTCTGAGGTGATACCCTGGCATCATCAGGCATGGCACATCATTTCTCCAGAGACAGGTTAATATGACTACTAAGTAGTCTAAAACCATATAAATGGGTTTGTAATTTTCTTCAGATTTTCAAATATATCTTAGAAGAAAATACTTTGCTATCCTTGATTGTTGTTTGTCTTTGTAGGAAGACTTCTCAATATTTGGGGGAACACAAAAAATCCTTGCTCAGGCAAGGAGGCCAATGAGTGAAGAAAGAGCCACTAGTGGCTCTGTACAGGGTACCCATGTCCAAGTAAGGGCTAAATAAATAAATGCAAATTATTTTATAGATTCATTGATGTATAATTGACACAATAAGCTGCACATGTTTAGACAATATAATGAAACCATTAACTATGAAACCATGAATGCAATCAAGATAATGAATATATTTACCAAACCCATCAATTTTCTTGTGTCACTTTGTAATCCGTCCCTCCTCTCCCTCTCCCTTTTCCACATCCCCAGGCCATCACTAATCTACTTGCTGTTGCTATTGATGATTGTGCATTTCTAAGATTTTATATAAGTGGAATTGCCTAGTATGTACTCTTTTTGTATGGCTTCTTTTGCTCTGCTTAATTTTGAGTTTTTCCAGAGTGTTGACTATATCAATAGTCTATTCCTTTTAATTACTGAGTAGTAATTAAAGTATGCCACTGTATGGGTACACCATGATTAGTTTATCCATTCCCCCGTTGATGGGCCTTTGGGTTGTGTTATATACTGAAGTGTATCCCCGCCATCCCCTGCAAAAAAAAAAATTAGTATGTTGATGCTTTAACCCCCAATGTTACTGTATTTGGAAATAGGGTCTTTAGGAAGTAATTAAGGTAAAATGAAGTTATAGGGTGGGGCCCTGATCAGATAGGATTAGTGTCCTTATAAGAAGAAACATCAGGAAGCTTTCTTGCTCACTTATTCTCTTTTGTCTCTCCAAGCACCCTCAGAGGAAAGGCCATGTAAGGACAAAGGAGCCATCCATAGGCCAAGAAGAGAGTGCCTGCCAGACCTGAACCCTATTGGAACCTGGATCTTGGACTTTCCAGCCTCCACAACTGTGAGAAAATGAATTTCTGTTGTCTAAGCGATATAATCTGGTATTTTGTTACTGTAGCCTGAGTAGATTTATGTAGGTTATGTATAGTTTAAGGCTGTTGAAAATGGAGCTGCTGTGAACATTTGCATATGAGTCTTTGTGTGGCAATCCACTTTCATTTTTCTTGGGTAAATATCTAGAAGTAGAGTGGCTAGGTCATATGGTACATGTACTTTTACTTTTTTAAGGAATTGTCAACACTGTTTTCCAAAATAGCTATACCAATATGCATCCCTACCAGCAGTATGGGACTCTCAATTGCTTTACATCCTTGCTAATGCTTCGTATCTTCAATCTCTTTAATTTTAAAACATTTATTTTGAGCAGTGATTTAATTCACCATTCTGGTGAATATGTAGTGGTATTTCACTGTGGGTTTAATTTGCCTCTCCCCAGTCACTAATGCTGGTCATCTTTTCATGTATTTATTTGCCACCTTTATATCTTCTTTAATGAAGTATCTGTTCAAATTTTTTGCTCTTTTATTATTGGTTAAGAGATCATTAAATGTAAATTTGAATGAGCATTGCATAGAAAATTAGATTCAGAATCTTACTGGCTATCCAAGTTGGGCAGACCTGGGAAGAGAGACAAGAACATCCAAAAAGAGTATGTGGGCATTGGAAAGTTGGAAGAGGAGTGGTAAGAGCTCAAAGGAGAGTGATAGGTCTGAAGATAAATTCTGCCAGTTTCACAGTTTTGTCTAAGTTTGGGTTTGATACCCCTCTAACAGTTTTCTCGCCATTAGCACTTAATTCTAGTCACCCAGATCCAGATACTCTGAGACCCCCAATTTCATGAGACCTTCTTTGGGAGTTTCTTGTTTCAGAAGTGCACCATATGTCACTGTTGCCTTATCTACCTTAACTGGAGTGACATGGCTCATCCATTACTTTTTAATTCCCATTGGTAAGTATGGGTAAATTTGCAATATTTCCAGCATCTTTTATCTGGCCTTAGTGCATCTCCATATATCAATAGGTGATTACAAGGGAGATGGGGAGTGAGTATGCACCTGAACCAGAGAGGTTTTGTGGGGTCTTCGCAGCCAGGTCACGAGAGACACAGGTGAACAGGAGTAGACAACTGCTTGTAAGCAATAAATGGGTTTCTCCCACTTTATTTCTCCCTTTGACTGATTTCAGCCTCAAAGGTTTATTTGCCTCAGGCTGGGAATACATTTTCCCTCCTGGAGGTACAGTAAGAAAAAACATACATAACCTTGTGAATTAAAGTTTTTTAATTAAAATGTATTTTAATGTGAGCTTAATCATTAATAAAATTGACCTCTCTCCGTTTATTCCCTTCTTTCCACAACTGAAAGATCTGCTAGCAGGTCCTTATTTTGCCAAGGGAGGCCTGTACCAGTTCCACTTGGCTCTAACAACTTTAGTAAAAAGAGATTTTTGTAAGACAACAAAGTAATCCTATCATCATTGAAATGCTTTAAAAAGTATCCTTTTATATATGGTACTGTACAGGTGTTATACAAAGAACTTTTCTTAATATTTATGAGCTATCACATGTTAATAACCTGTAATTATTATTTATTGAGTGCCTACTATGTACCACACTGTTAAATGCATTAAGCTCTTAACAAATCTGTTAGGCAGTGCTCTATGTTAAAAAATGTCACATACAGTGATGTATGTTAAAAAAAAAGTGGTTTCTGGGAGGAAAACTAAATCTGTGAAATTTCCTAAATTATTCATGAAAGGCCTTTGGAGCACACCTGAGTTTATGCTAATAAAGTGACTCAGGAAGGGGGCGGTTCACCCCAGAAAGACTAACTTTGTGATTAAAAGGTTGGGGTTTTGAGCCATTTGGTATCAGCCCAACCTACCAGGAAAGAGTAGAGGGGTCTGGAGACTGAGTTCAATCACATGGGCAATGACTCAATCAGGCCTGTGAAATCAACTTCAGTAAAAACTCTGAAGCATCCTGAGACTACAGAAGATTTGGACCCTTTTGGACTCCCCTAGATCCCACCTGTTGTGCTTTTTCACTTGACCAGTCCTGTTTTTTGTACTTTATGACAAAATTGTATCCACAAATACAGTGCCTTCCTGAGTTCTGTGAGTTGTTCTAGTGAATTATAAAATCTGAGGGTACTGGGAACCCCCACATTTGTAGCCAGTTGGTGAGAAGTATCTGTTGCCTGGGAGCCCCAATATTTGTGGCTGAGACCTGAAGTGAATGTAGTTTTATGGAAGCCTTTGCCCTCAACCTGTGAAATTTGTCCTAATTCTAGGTAGTCAGTGTCAGAATTGCCTTGCAGGTAGAGATAATCATTTAACAGATAAAGAAACCAAAGGCTTAAAGAGGTAAAGTGTCCAAAGCCACACAGCTTATGAAGTTAATGCCAGGTTTCAAAATAGACTTGTCCATTTCCAAAATCTCCTCTCTTTCTACCACTATAGGATGAGATGGGATCTCTGGGTTTATCTGATAGATTTGCTATCAAAATCTCTGTCACTTAGAATAAAAAATATTTATTCTATATACAGTAATTTGCCCATAAAAATTTGCTTAGCCATTTAGGGAGTGATGGTAAAAGGTCATGCTGCTTTGGGTGGAAGAGTGTCTCATCACTGTCAAAGTGTTGTGGTGCTCAAATGCCCAGACTCCTGCAAATCAAAAGTATTAACTTAGCAAATTAAAAAAAGGGCAAGAGATCTGAAGGGAAACTTCACCAAAGAAGATAGTAGATGACAAATGCTGATGACAAGTCATTAAAGTCACCTTGAAATAGGCACCTTGAATAGTTTTCTTTGAGCCTGATAAATCAAAAACTGTAGACACGGAGAGATCTCTGAGATGAAAGGGTTTATTGATCCTTTAGATACTAGCCAGATAAGGACTAAGTCATGGCACAGGAAATTTCTGCTTCACCAGCAGCAAGGCCAGTTAACAGAAACAACTTGTCCCCCAAACTCAGGAAACTGGGCACATTTATGAGGGGGTCTTAAGGAAAGAAAGTTTGTTAAATTCCCACTGGCTACAGATAAGGAAGGTGGGTTAACAAGAAGTGGGGAAAGGCCAGGGGACAGGTGGTTAGGCCATAGAGGTTTGCAGGTTGGTTGTCAACGAAGGCCAGACACTGGTCATGCACAAGGGGGACACAGTGGTCCTGGGAACTTTCTAGATGCTTGTTGAAATGACTTCATCCAGGAACTAGAGTTTCTGCTTAGCTATGGCCCATGGTTATTGACTGATGAGCTCCGCTTGTTTCTGTCCCTCATTCACTAGCCCTTATGTCACTTAATTCAGGACATTTCAGAAATTTTACGTTGTCAAGTCAAATGGAGGACTAGCCCCAGAGACACAGCTTCTACCAATAGAAGTGTTCTGAGGAGCTACAGTCACAGGAAGATTTTATATCCTTGAGGAGGCAGGCAAGGAAGGCTTCAAAGGAGTACATGACATTTGCAGAAACTATGCCAGGATGTTTATATATCCTGTAACCAAAGAGAATTAAGGGGAAGGGCAAACATTCTTGCTTATGTTATGACCTTGAGTGACAGACTGTCTTACTTACACTAACCAGAAAATTGCTGACTGACTACATTTTTGGGGAGGCTGAAACTGCAATCAGGTTAGGTGTTATGCCCCATTTGGTGACTTGGTCTAGCAGAAGTGACTCCATGTTAGGCCTGTAGTTTTCTTTTAACACAAATAAGCACATAAGAAGATGCTAAACAGCATTAGTCACTGGGGAAATGCAAATTAAAATGAGATACCACTTCACAACCACTAGAATGGCTTAATAAATACGCAGAACAGAATCAAGTGCTAACAAGAATGTGGAGCAACTGGAACTCTCATATTTTGCTGGCAGGATGCAAAATAATGCATCCTACTTTGGAAGACAGTTTTATCAATTTTTTATAAAGTTGAGTATATACTTACTATATGACCTAGTAATTCTACTCCTAGGTACTTACTCAAATGAAATTTTTTAAAAATCTTTATTCATACACAAAAATCAGTACACAAATGCTTATAATGCTTTATTCACATTACCAAATATTAGAAACAACCAAAGATCCCTCAACAGGTGAATACAGAAATAAACTGCAGTATATCTGTATAATGCAATACTCCTCAGCAATAAAAAGGAACTGTGATAGTGTGATTTATAAAAAGAAATATGTATTTGGTCTCATTCCCTTTCCTGGCACTGAGCTTTTAAAACCTTTGGAATTTCCTGTGATAAGAGCAATTAAAGTGTCTTTTGTTATGTTACTGAGACAATTTTTGCAAAGCACCTAAGGATGGGGTCTGGTTGCTAGAGGAGCCAACAAGGTGCTCAGAGGGTCAGAACTTTCAGCCCCACCACTCACTCACCCACTTCCTAGAAGGGGAGAGAGGCTGGAGACTGAGCTCAGTCACCAATAGCCAATGATTTAATGGATCATGCTTATGTAACAAAGCCCCCATACAAACTCAAAAGGATGGGGTTCAAAGAGCTTCCAGGTTGGTGCAGCCAGCTTTCAGGTTTGTGGAGTTGCCAGGATAGTTGAAGGCATGGCAGCTCCCCACCTCTCTCCCTGACATACCTTGCCCTACGCATCTTTTCCATCTGCTTGTTCCTGAGTTACATCCTTTTATAATAAACTGGTAATCTAGTAAGTAAAATGTTTCTCTCAGTTCTGTGAGCTGCTATAGCCAATTAATCAAACCAAGGAGGTGAACCTCCAATTTATAGCCAGTTGGTGAGAAGCAAAGTAACAACCTGGACTTGTGATTGGTGTCTGAACTGTGGGGAGTCTTGCGGGAGCAAACCCTTAACCTGTGGGATCTGATGCTATCTCTTGGTAGATGGTGTCAGAATTGAATGGAATTGTAGGACACCCAGTGGGTGTTGCAGAATTGCTTGGTGGTGTGTTAAAAAGCATATACACATACTGCAGTTGGTATCAGAATCATAAGAAGAATGAAGTGATGCACCAACATGGATG